GGTTTAGGGTTTGGGTATGAACCCTAAACCCAGTTCAGCACACCTGGCGCAGTCACACTCTGAGACACGCAAGGTTGGCCAACTCCGAAACCAAAATGCCAGAAAACCCCTGGAAAATCCTAGGCTGCTAAGCAGTCCTTGCCCTTAAAACCCTGACATAAATCGTTCCAAACCCCCAAAACCCAAACCCTAAACCCTAAACCTCAGAACTCCCAGGCTCGAACCCCAAAACCCTGGCGGTACATGCGACTAAGGGATAAGGGATTAGGGTAGCTTAGAGGACATGCAGGAGTAAGAAACCCCGATAAGCTCCAAAAGGCCAAGATCTAAAGTTGCCGTGAAGAGCTTCCGCTAGACCCTGGAGTAACCTAGGAATAGAAAGGGTGCCCTGTGTGGCTTAAAGGGGGTGATAAGGGAACCCCAAACCCTAAGAAACAGGCAATAAGGGCCGACACTTGGTCCCAATCTGCCACCCTAAACCCTAAACCCTAAACTCGAAACTCCCACCGCAACTTGCCGCAGTTCCCGCGCCTTCGTTGCAGCCCGCAATGCCAGCCCCTGTGCAGTTGCACCTAGGCTCCCCCACAGGGCTTCGGGGCTGAGGGAATTAGAATCCTTTAAAGAAGGTAAGGGACCACACTATAAGGGACCGTGTAACTTTAGGGGATGATAGGGCTTGAAGGTTGATAGGGGTTCAAGTATTCGGGCATTCTTTGTGGGAGCCCTTAGGTCTGTGGCAACTCTGCCTCAATAAGCCCATCGTTACCTTGCTCTCGGTTCAGCAACAGCACCCGCACCACCAACACCACTACCACGATGTAAAAATTCTAAAATTCTTCGCAGATAACTCCGCCCCAGACCCCGAGCATGCTAAGCACCAGTACTCGAGAGAACCCCAAACCTCTTGAGCTGCCAAACCCCGAGCCCTCAACCCTAAACCCTGAAAAGCCATAAGCTCTAAGCTCCACTTACGAAAGGGGCATAAATCACTAGAATAGGGTTTTGGGGGGTTATTGCAGTATAATTGCATGGGGACCCCACGGGAATACTATTAAAAATGATTCCGACCCCTATATTTTACCTTGCAGCTTTTGTTCATGGGCAAATCGAATCCAAGGATCAATAGGGATATAGGGGATTAGGGTTGCAGGGCTCCTAAGATGACTTCCGAGGTTGCAGAAAAGCGTCAGGGAGTAGGGTTTAGGGTTTAGGGTCTACATAAGAGGGTTTAAGGTTTATAAAGGGATTCAGGGTCTAGGGTGTTAGGGTCTTTTAAAACCCCAAGACCCTAAGCCCTAATCCCTTCAGGACCTTAGGGTTTAGGATTTGGGGGTCTTTGGGATGCCAGAATGCAACAAGCCATCCCGGCCAAAGGGCAGTTGGTCACACTGCGGTCCGTACCACCCATCTTCGCAGATACAGACCTGCAGCCGCTTCAGCGTTTTGGTTTTGTCTCAGTTGCTAAGTTCATAAGCCCCAAAAAAGTGTACACTCTCAGTTCTTTTGGGGATTATCGTATCCCAAAAAGTGTGTAAAGTGTGCTCACTCAGCTACTAAGATGTTGAGATTCTTGAGCCCTCAGCTGCCAGACCGGACCTCACTCAGGTCCCTTTTGGGGCTTGCGGGGCGTCCTCTGTACACAGTTCGAAAGGGAGCCCTATACGCACAGTAACCATATTCTAATAAGGGCACCCTTTTTTGAGTTGATTACTTTATAAGGGAAACCAGAACCGCAAACAACAGGGTAAAGCTAAACCCTAAACCCTAAACCTTAAACCCTAAACCCTAAACCCTATACGCACTCACCAAAACGTCATGCATACACAGGTGCCTGGTCTCCCTGCAGATTCACTCCGCAGCTGAGCCGGGTGATGGTGGTCTCTGGCAGCTCGGGAACCTCATGGGTTTAGGGTTTAGGGTTTAGGGTTTGGGGTTTAGGGTTTAGGGTTTAGGCCTAGGGCTTGGGGTTTAGGGCCGAAACCGAACAACCGCAATAGAACATGGCCCGACATGTACATGCTGTAGCTTTATACCTCTTAAGGTCGAACCTTGATACTAGCGGGGAAGGAAAGTAAGGTTTTGAGACATAGCTTCATGAAATCGAGTGGCATTGCTTTTTGGGTCTTGCTATAGAGTTCTTAAGGGAGGGGGGTTCAAGAAGGGTATAAAACCCAAGGTTCCCTAGTACTCCCCACTAGTCCCTAAAGCCCTAAGCCTCCCTAAAGTTTGCTAGGTACTTACACCCTATTCAACCCCCCTCCCTTAAGGCCCCTAAAATTTTAGGTTTGGGGTTTAGAGTGGCCAGTAACAACTCTAAACCTTGAACCCCAAAACCCAAAAAGCCTTTGAGCGTGGAGTTGTTTGTTGTATGGTTTAAGCATCGTTTGTCGACTGGTCATGCTCATGAGGGAACTCCTCTTTCTTGACAGATCCCACAGCCCAAGCCTTAACCCCAACTCCCCCAAAACCTAAGCCCGAAGCCCTAAAAGCCTAAAGCACCAAGTCGTAAGTCTTAAAAAAGCCCTAAGCCCTAACCCTTAACCCCAAACAAAGCCACCAAAACTCGGCCCCGAAACCAACCTAAAGCCTGAACCCCTAAGGCCTAATTAAACTCGAACCTACTAAGCTGACCGGCTGAAGTCTGTTTTCGGGAGTGACAGGTACGACTTAGGAAGTACTGCCAACGCCACAGGCAGCGAAGGCGGTGATTTCTTACTTGTCTGCAGTCAATTAATGTCAATTAGATCATCAGCCTCTTCGTTAAGGATCTCCTGCGTTCTTCTCGCATGGGACACCCGATGACATCTTGCATAAAGCCACAAAGCCCGCAACCTCATTCAGGTTTAGGGTTTAGAGCTGAGGGGTTAGGGTTTGGGGTTCTAGGGTTTTAGTTTTAGGGTTCTAGGGTAGCCCCCTTCTTCTCGGCCCAGCAACGTTCGTGACCCTGAGCTCGGCAACAGGCCACGACAGGTTCAAACCGGCCACTCCACGCACCTGCGTAGGGTTTAGGGTTTAGGGTTTCGGGTTGGGGGTTGAGGGTTGTGGGTTGAGGGCTTAGGGTTTAGAAGTTGCGGGTTTAGGGTTTAGGTTTGGGGTTTGGGGATATCGGGCGTGAGGAGACGTGTTGGAAGCCGGCTTTTGGGGTTTGGGGTTTGTTGTTCAGGGTGGGCTCAGCCGTTGCTGAGATTCCAGAAACTTTCGATTCCATCCTACAGTACTCTGTGTGTGTGTGCGCGCTTTTTTCTGCAACTATTCCGCCGTCACCGTTTTTATGCATGCAGAGTTGGCAGTTTGTTGCTTTGCAACAGCCAGGTGCACCGTAGGTCAACCAATCGACCTACACACACGTCTCAGGGTAAACCGTCGACGGATTTTAGTGTTGTTTGCATTGCTCTACCAGTCCAGAGCCAAATCGCTAAGTTTACAGGTTCTGTTCACTGCTTGCTATGCGGATAGACCATCAGCTAAACCCTCATGCCACCTCTAAAATGCTGAAACCTAACTAAATCCCTATAAAACCCCATACCCTAGACACTAAGCCCTACGAACCCTAAACGTGAACCCTAGACTCCAAACCCTAAACCCTAAACCCTAAACCCTAAACCCTAGAGTAGACCCAAAAACCCTTAAATCCGGCCCAAGTCTGTACTCGAGCCCGGGTTCCCAGTCAGCTGCACTGTGACTGGGTGAAGGCCGCAGGTCTGTTCACTCTTTCTGCTAAGGTTTCATAAGTTTGGGGTTTAGGGGTTTTAGATGGTTTTAGGGTTAGGGATTTTAGGGATTTTAGGGTTTTTAGGGGGTTTAGGGTGTAGGGTTTAGGGCTTAGGGTTCCCTGTCCTTTTCAGCCCCTAAACCCCCTAGCCCCTACAGCCAGGGTTTGGGGCTTGGGGTGGTTCAGGGTTTAACTCGGCAAGCTCTCGGACAAAACGGTTTAGGGTTCAGCAACGAAGAAAAGAAGGGTACTACCGGGCATCCTAGTTTTATTGGCAAGGCACACATCAACTACACTCAAAGCCTTAAGGTCTCTTCCTTTAGGTTTTGGGGCCCCAAAACCATACTGTACAAGGACACTAAACAACCAGGCTTTCCTGCGGCCTCCTGTGATCTTTGGCCCCAAGGAGGGCGGTCAAGTGAAAGGGCCTTGGTTGTCCTGAATCCCATAGACCTTAGGGTTTAGGGTTTCGGGTTTTGGGCTTAGAAAACCCTAAGCCCTAGCCCTACCAAACCTTTAATTCAGGGGCATAGGGACCGCCATATTATAATATAATATAACATAACATAATATAACATAATATATAATATAATATGATATAATGCGGTATAGTTTCATATGATATAATGTACAGTATAATACAAGATAATATAGTATAATATAACAAAGTCTAATTTACCATTCATCAATATGATATAGTATAATGTAATTTAAGTATAAACGATAAATAAATAAAATATGTATATACATATATAATATAGTTTAATATAATAGCCTCCGCATCCCTTCAAAGCCGCTTAGGGTTTAGGGTTTAGGGTTCAGGGTTTAGGGTTTAGAGTCCAGGGCTTAGGGAACAGGGTGGGCAAAGTGGGACTGAGGAAGTTGACGTCGGTCGTGTCAGCACGGTTCGGCGCACCCATGCGTGGCCCAGGCTCAAGACCTCACAGAGGAGGAAGCCGACTTCTGAATGAACGGGGTTTAGGGTTTATGTTTAGGGTTTAGGGGTTAGGGTTTGGGGTTTGGGGTCTGGGTTTACAGCTTCGTCTTGCGCAAGCTGCTGAACTCCCAGGAAACCTACCATAACTTTATGGTCTTTGGCAACTGTTAGAAGCATTGTCCGAAACCCTGACACCTACACCCGGAACTCGAAACTTCATAACCCTAAGCCCTGGAACCCTAAACCCTAAACCCTAAACCCTGAAACCCTAAACCTCAGACCCCAAACCCGAAGCCCTAAGCAAGCTCGCAGTCGGTTCTTCTCTCCACTTTCGAACCAAGGCCTCTGCCGCTACCATCCCAGCCATTCCTGCACCAAGCATGCTTCGCCAAATGAGTGCCCAAAGGTTTAGGGTTTAGGGTTTAGGGGTTAGGGTTTCTGGTTTGGGGTTAAAGGTTTAGGGGGGTTTAGATCACACGTTTGATGCTTCCAAGTTTTGAGATTATGCATGTTAACTCCCTAAGCTCTATTACTTCCCAGTGCTTCCTGGCCCCCCAGCGGTCCAGCGAATCACGGTTCGGTGTGGCTCCCGGGTTCTGAAAGTTTAGGGTGTAGGGCCTGGTAGGCCTAAGCCCTATAACCCCAAACCCTAGATCCCAATTTAGGACTGAAAGGCAAGTACGCACACCGGAACCTTGACTTCCAGCAAGTTGCCACCCTTCCGGACCCGAAGCCCCAAACCCTACACCCGAAACGTTTAGGGTTGAGGGTTGCAGGCTCAGTCTCTGCCGAAGCATGCCGGGCGCGAGTCTTACTTACTATCCTGTCTACTGCCTGGCCCGACCTGCTATTGCTATCGGCTAGTAGTGGCTGTAGCATGGCACTATACCCTAAACCCTAAACCCTAAACCCCCAAACGCACTGTCTGCTGCTGTGCGGGTCCCAGGGCTCCTTGGCCAACCTCAGTCGCAGCTCCATATCCGGATCGTTGAAGCCCTGGCTCGTCGTCTCTAAGGATTAGGGGTCTGGGGTTGAGGGTTTAGGGTTTAGGGTTTAGGGTTTAGGGTTTAGGGTTTAGGGTTTAGGGTTTAGGGTTTAGGGTGTAGCCCGAACCTACGCGCGCAAGCGTTTCGCCATGCCATGATAGCTGAGCAGCTGGAAACCACTACAACGGAGGCGCCGCAGACTTGCAATACGGTGACTACCACGAACGCGAATGCGAACGGGCCTAAATCTGCCAGTGCGGTCTTTGACTCTGTCACGCCAGGGCTCAGGTTTGGGGCTTGGAAACCGAAACCCGAAACCCGAAATAAGGAGAGCCCGCTTTCCGACCGTCATGCTCTCACGATATAAGCTCCTCAGTCTGACATACTCGGTTCTAAAGGTGGAGGGAGGTGTCTTATCTACCCTGCCTGCCTCCATTTCATATTCTAATCCAACGTGGAGACCACCATACCTTGTAAGCCCTATAAGCCCTGAAACCCTACAGGTGACATCATCAAACAAGGATTTGCTTTAGGACCCCCCCCCCCCCCCCCCCCCCCCCCGCCACAACCACGCCAAAGAATAAGTCTCAAGGGAGTAGCAACTAAGGAAGTTAGCCTCAAAACCTTAACGGCAACAGCAACTATCACAGAATCATAGCCCTAAACCCTAAACCCTAAACCCTAAACCCTATAAGGCCAAAGGTCCCTTAAAGCTAGTCCAGTCCTACAGGCCTGGAGGAAGGTCATGCCAAAGATTCCCACCTGGCAGCTTGCTAAAGCCTCCGAACCCCGAGGTTCGAAAAGCTAGGGTTTAGGGTTTAGGGTTTAGGGTTTAGGGTTTAGGGTTTAGGGTTTAGGGTTTAGGGTTTCGGGTTTAGGGTTTAGGGTTTAGGGTTGGAGAATTAGGAATTCGGGACCCCAAAGCCCTGAGATATCCTAGAACTCAGAGCCCTTCGCTAGAGTTTGGGGGTCTAGATGCAGGGACTAGGGGTCCGGGAGACACCCCCTAAACCCTCAAAACCCTAAAGCTCTACAACCCTTAGGTTCCTGGACGCCCGCAAAGGGCCCCCGCGAAGACCTACAAGCCTTCTGAAACCTAACCTGGGTTTAGGGTTTAGGGCTTAAGCCCTGCAAACCTCTAAACTTTACATCATCCTGGAACCTGGGATCCCCAAGCCCTAATGCTCTACAGCTCTGCAACTCTAGTTCTGGAAAATGCGGTTTAGGGTTTAGGGTTTAGGGTTTAGGGTTTAGGGTTTAGGGTTTAGGGTTTAGGGTTTAGGGTTTAGGGTTTAGGGTTTAGGGTTTAGTATCTGCTGTTCCCCGGTAGGGTCGCAGACGATCTCTAGGCGGGTCCCTGAACCCCAAAGAAACGTTTAAGCCTACAAACCCTATACACCCTCTATGAAGCCGGAAAGCTCTGCACCCTCTGCACCAAAAGACCTAAAAGTTCTCAACGGCCCAGTTTCTTCCGGCATTTGCGGCTTAGGGTTTATAGGGGCCTAATGGGGGCCTAGGCTGCACCCCTGTTCCTGTTTATCCCCTAAACCCTAAACTCTAAACCCTAAACCCTAAACCCTAACCCCTAATTAAACCCAAAAACCCTAAAGCCAACGAACTCCCAGACCGTCCCTCGAGCTCCCAGCCTTCGGCATCTCCTTGTACCATTCGTCCGGAACCCTTGCGCGGTTTAGGGTTCAGGGTTCAGGGTTCAGGGTTCAGGGTTTAGGGTTTAGGGTTTAGGGTTTAGGGTTTGGGTTTAGGGTTTAGGGTTTAGAGTTTAGGGTTTAGGGTTTAGGGTTCACGGTGTGCGAGTTTCAAGTTGCAGTGTTCTTCGTGTCCGAGATACACTACTAGACCCTTTGAACCCTGAACCCGCCCTGGCCAGAAACCCTAAACCCTCCCAACTCTTATGAAATATAAGAAATCTACCCCGACCCCTTCCAGATCATGCTGATCCCTCGGAAATCCTTGACCCTTCATGAGAGCTGGCCCTATACCCCCCCCCCCCCCCCCATATCCCTAAACCCTGAAACCTAAACCCTAAACTTCCTAAACCCTTCATGAGACCTTGCCTACTGCCCGCCTATATTACACGGCGGAGTTTCCCAGAAACCCCGCTTGCTGGATCTTCCCACCCCAAACCCTGCAAACCCCAAACCCTAAAGCCTGCAAACCCTAAACCCTGCAAAACCTGAATCCTAAACCCTAAACCCTAAACCCTAAACCCTAAACCCTAAACCCTAAACCCTAAACCCTAAACCCTAAACCCTAAACCCTAAACCCTAAACCCTAAACCCTAAACCATCACCTGAACCCTAAACTCTAAACCCTAAACCCTAAATCCTAAACTCCAGACCCTAAGTAAAGCGTTGGAGCTCAGATGCAAACGCAGCCGAGGGGCAGCCACTTGCTTCCCTTGTCTGCCAGATGCGCCTTTTCACCTTGGCGTTGTCCCTACTTTGTATGCCGACCCTGAATCCTGCACACCCATCCTCACCACCACTTGGCTGACCGTAGTCTTTGCGTGTAAGCGCCCAGCTCCAATGTGGCGCATCGATGTTCTCCTGGGATTGTTGACAAACAGCTCCCTCCCTTCCCTGCCTACTGGTTGCTTCGCTAGGGCATCGCACCAATCACCATCAGCAACATCGAGTCTCAACCAACATATTTACTACGCATAGCCTAAATCTCACAAACAGTTCTCAATGAACATGCTTCTTCGTAGCTTCTCACGCACAACCCTCCTGACTGCATCATGAACCTCCTCCAGTCTTGCACCAGAACGCTTTCCTTCTTGCAGCCGAAGCATCCCCACTTTCCTCTTTGCATACGCGGAGGAGGCACTGAGCACAATGCCAGTCTTCATGCAGCGACAAGTCCATCATGTAGCCTTTGACGCAAGCTGCAAGTGTCGACGGACTCTGCGAGGCTTCAGGTTACGCCTAGGGCAGGTATGGGGCGTCGGGTTGGGTCCTGCAACCTGTATGGCGTTGATTAAGCTGGGCCAACGAACCACTCGCACCTTGATTTCCAACAAAAACGGCTGCTGTATACAAGTCTCCTGGAACTCTTCTGCTACGAGCTGTGTCCAAGGAGCGATTCGCATGGCCGAGGGAGACTGGGTTGTCAAGCATGTTGTAGTCCTTGACAACAAATTCTGGCGGGCACTTATGATGTCAGGGTTTAAGTCATCAAGTGACCAAAAGAGTAGATTGAAGCATGTTCACAGCAACCTCGCCATATTCTGACGTCACAAGAGCACCTGTCGCATTTGATTAGGTCACTAGGTTCTCCAGCTTCCTAAGAATGATACGAGTGCCCTTCCATGTCAAATACATGTTTAGAAAGGATCCGAACCCTGAAGCAAATATGGGCGACCCAGCTTGAAAATCCTACACCCTAAGCCTGGCACACACAAAAACCTCAAACCCGTAGACCTGCAGACCCTAAACCCACGAACCCTTCCCCCGAACCCCTAATCCCTGAACCCATAAACCCACAACCCTGAACCCTCAAACGTAAGTACGTACCTTGCCAGGCCTTGAGAATGGGCCGCATGCGCTCTTCGTCGATGGAAGCTTCAGCCATCCGTTCCGTGCCTGAGCTTCAATAGGATCAAGCCCTACAGGTTTAGGGTTTCGGGTTTAGGGTTTGAGGGCTTAGGGCTTAGACAAGCCCCAAAGCCCAAACAACCCTACACTTTCTCCCAGGTTTCCGGTTTTTAGGTCAAAGAAGCAGGGCGAGAGCAGGACAACTCTGGAGCCAGCGCCGCAAAGCAGAGAGAGTCCCATGGGCAAAGGAGCTGCTTTGGGCTGATTTAGTAGGTTACTTGTCGTCTCTCTCTCTCTCTCTCCCCCTCATTTTGCTATCTCTTTTTCTCTCTCTCTCTCTCTCTCTCTCTCTCTCTCTCCCTCCCTCCCATACCTCAAACCCCTACCGCCCCTCCAAAAATGAGCCCCCCCAACCCACTGCCTCCCCCCCACCCCCCCCCCCCCCCAAAAAAAAACACCACAAAACCCTAAAGCCTAACACCGGTCCCCACCCCCAAACCCCCCCCCCCCCCCCACCTCCAAAAAAAAGGCAAACACATAGATAAAGCATAATCATTCGCCCCCCCCCCCCCAAAAAAAAAACAGTGACAAATTAATAAGACCAAGCACAATAAGAAGAAACGAATATTAATAAGAAGAAAAGAATATTAATAAGGATAATAACACAATATCCACTGCCCAGATGCGAGACTTGGGCTTGGTCGGGGGCACGACTGCTCCTCTGCACGTTTGCAGAGGGCGGGGTTTGGGGTCTAGGGTTTAGGGTTTTAGGGTTTTAGGGTTTGGGGTTTGGGGTTCGGGGTTTAGGGTTTAGGATTTCGGGTTTAGGGGCTTAGGGTTGAAGGGTTTAGCGTTTAGGGTTTGGGGTTTGGGGTTTGGGGGAGGGGGGGGGAATCTTGACCGTGGCCTCGCAAAGAGCATGCTCGCGTGTTTTGGGCACTCTTGGCTACAGCTTGGAGCAGCGAGCGGTTGACCCTAAACTCCTAAACTCCTAAACTCCTAAACTCTCCTAAACTCCTAAACTCCTAAACCCCTAACCCTAAACCCTAAACCTAGAACTTGTTCTGAGCCGGGAGTGGGGCAAGGTGTCCCAGCCTAGCCCGGCATTGGAGGCTCTGCGTGTCATCAGGACCATCCTGCGCCAGCTGGGAGTTTTAGCGTTCGGCCTAATAAGCACGATAATCTTGACAAGCATTCACGTAATTGGATGCCCGAAAGAAGAATCACCATGGTAGTACGTTGAAAGTAACCGTGCGAACATTTGGGGAAAGGTGAACATCGGAATGCTATCATACCGATCACGCGAACGGCTGCCTGCGCATTGATGGCGTTGATCACGTCATCGTGGTTCGGGCATGTTGAATCAGATTCACAAGCTGAACTCCGTAAACCCCAAACCCCATACCCTAAAATGAAAAAACTAAGCCCTCAACACCGCCGGCCACGCAGCGATAGAAAGGGTCACAGGAGACCTCGCGTTACCGTCTTTATGGGTTGCATACCATATAAAACACTACAAGTATAGAATTGGGCGATCGAATATGGTCTTCTCCAGACACGTCCCAAATGTCGTCATAGTTTGCATGCTTCCCGTGGGCGATAGTACGCCAAAATCCGCCAACCAACACAACTCCGAAGATGACGAGACTGAAGTGAATGCCAGGTTTCAGGGTATGGGTTCAGGGCTTTTGGGCACTTGGGGTTTAGGGTTTAGGGTTTAGGGTTACAGGGTCCTCCCGGACGAGTTGATGTCCGAGGAATCCTCCGGAGGTGGGATGATGAACTCCTCGCAGTGGTAATGGTGGATTCCTTCTACAAAGGGCTTCCCCCGCACCACGTTTAGGGTTTAGGGTTTAGGGTTAGGGTTTAGGGTTTAGGGTTTAGGGGGTTTAGGGTTTAGGGTTTAGGGGGTTTAGGGCTTAGGGTTTAGGGTTTAGGGTTACACCAAACCCTAACCCGATGTACCCTAAACATAAACCCTAAGTTCAGAGGAACAAGAGTTTGCAGACTTCTTCAGGGTCTAGGATACAACTTGTTAGGCCCAGGTGCCCAAACTCAAACTCAGCTGAGCCCCGTAAACCCTAAATCCTAAGTAACCCTAAACCCTGAACCCTCAACCCTAAACCCTAAACCCTAAACCCTAAAACCTAAACCCTAAACCCTAAAACCTGAAACCGGTGTTGTCGAGAGCTGTCGGGTTGACTCCTGGCCGGCACGGGTGATGTCCCAGGTACGCGGTCGCCCCAAGCGCTTGCGCACTGTCAGCACCTGTCCAGGCTGGGGGTTTAGGGTTTAGGGTTTAGGGTTTAGGGTTTAGGGTTTAGGGTTTAGGGTTTAGGGTTTAGGGTTTAGGGTTTGTAGGTTTTACAAGGTTCAGGGCTTAGGGGTTGATTTTTAGGATTTCAGGGTGGTTCACCCCAGGTGCGTTGAGCTTCAAAGGCTTTGGCCAAGCCCATAGTGTGGAGGTTTTAGGTCAGCTCACCCTGTCCAAAATTAAGAGGCATAAGGAAAAACCCTAGAGGAGACCCTTCATCCTATTCCCCCTAAATAACCCCTATGTGTATCGTATAAAGTCCCTGCATGCCTAAGTCGCCCCTACAGTACCCCGAAGGTCCCTGATAATGGTCCCTCCTTTAGTGCCTTGACCAAAAAACGGGGCAGCAGCAGCCCAGTGGGTTCCCATATGAGGATTCTTCATACTTTGGTACCTACTGCCCTAAACCCTAAACCCTAACCCTTGAAACCCTAAACCCTAAATCCTAAACCCCATCACAAAATCAGCCTTGGGGTCGGGGAACAAAAAACAACCAAGCACCGCGCCTCCTCCCTGGTGAGATGGACCAAGCTGTAGAGTCCGCACTCCTGGGAAGTTTAGTACGGATGCGTCGCGTAGACGCGGGGTTGGGGGTCTACTGGGCTTCCGCTAGGGGTCGGTGGTTTGAGGTTCGAGGGTTGAGGGTTTGAGGGTTTGAGGGTTTGAGGGTTTGAGGGTTTGAAAGTTTGAGGGCTAGGGTTTGAGGGTTTGAGGGTTTTTAGGGTTTGGGGTTTTCGGGGTCTAAGGGAGAAAGCCATTCCTCGGTGGGACATGTTGGTTTGAGGGGTCAGCCCTCTTGGTCCTTGACATGTGACGTGGCACTCCGTAGGGATGCCAACAGACAAGCTGAGACACTCTAGACCCTAAACCCTAAACCCC